GTCGCGCAAAAACTGCTGCAAACGCAAGCCGATACCATCAAGATTTCGTGGCGTAACCTCGGGCACGTAAAACACGGTGCAAAAAAGCAGAATAATTGTCACGAGAAACTATAGCATCGCGTTGCTAAGGCCAGCAGCCATGTTGAGCTTTTTTTTTTCAAAAGGATCGCGATTGGTCCACAGATTCGTGACGTCATGAAAACAATTGGCTGGCGTTTCTCGGCGTAGGATTACATTTTCCTCTGAGAGGCATTTCCGGTTTTTTCTTAGCTTGCAACCGACTATAGTTGCTTTGGATCACGCGGCACGAGCGCTCCTGCAGTGGGTGCAGTTATGTCAGCCAAGGCTACTCGCTCCCCGCTCTCACGGCCTTCGCAGCTATTCTATGCAAGGGTGATGATCCGTCGTATTCCACACAAGTACAGCTCCAGAAAAATGGGTACAAAGTTTTTGCGACTGGGCTCTGTCGCCTCCGGTACACGTAATCTTCATTTACGACAAGAGTGACGGACGGCACCGGGCGAAGTTTGAAAGTGGATAACGCTTATTTTGATGTTCCTGAGAACGCGACAAGTATAGGCGACAACGTCGAGAACACGCACCAGCGCGAACACCGCCGAGCCGCCGAGCACCCGGCCACACACACGCCGAGCGACCGACATTTCAAAATGCAGTCACTAGAAATCCAAAAAAAACGTGTTGTTGACGTCCCAATAACTAAGACGTAAATAAAAGCTGTTATTTCGACGTCCGTGGCGGCATTGGCCACGTCCCCTGGGTGTCAAATCGGTGCCGAAAATACGCAGCCGCTGGAAGATGACACAGCCTTGGACCTTGGACACGACGCGCGCTTGCCTGGCTTGCCCCCTCACAGTCGAGTCTTCCCATTCCCGTTTTCGGGACTTGCAAAGAGGCGGAGGCCTTGAATGATTGACCGACAGCCAACAGAGCGTGTGAGTGGCTCTCCGGACCCACGTTATGAGCAGAGCAAGGCCGCCGTGGAGGAAGCGAGGGGGAGATTTGACGGGGGGGAGTTTCCCCCCGGCAGATTTGACAGTGAGAAATTTCCTCCCGGCGGCCGGAAGCGGAGCGCCGCACGATTTGTCGGAGTCGTGAGTTTTGTAGTATCCTGTTTGGACACCCCTTTAATCGTAAAAACGAAATATCGTAAATATCGCCAAGTGCCTCGACAAAACAAAATGTTCGAGGGAAAAAAAGAAATAAGCCCCCATCGTGGATAGAACCCGGGTCTGCTACGTATGAGGCAGACATCTTACAACTAAGTTACGCTACCGTTTCGGAAACCCGCATTCTAACCACTGCCTATGTTGACGGCGGCAGCGCCTATCTCCACGAATCAGCCAATCCGGCTTGTATTGCCTGCGCATTCAAAATATCCACCCGCAGGTCGGGGGGCGGTGCCCTTGGTATATTCCTTGGGCGCTGCCGGCCAGTGTCTGCCCTGCCCAGTGGCGGCTGTTTCAGGGGGGGGGGGGGGGGGGGGGGGGGGCAAAGCACATGCCTTGCCCCCCCACTCTGAGAACTGGGGGGGGGGGGGGGGGGGCAAGCGCCCTCCTTGCCCCCCCCCCCCCTTCCGGTTGGTACGCCCATCGAGGGGTCGCGTTCCGTTCAGGAATTCTACCACCTCATCTGAGTGGCGTGCCAGGAACGGATCATCGATTTGCAAAAGTGACAAGAGTTTCTGTAGTTCTCTTGAAATCATATGTTGCCAAGTGCCTTTGTCTTCTACATGACCCGGAATGCCAAGAAAAGCCACTTTATTCTATTCCGCTGAGTTGTGGCAGCCAATACATCGGCCAGACGGGACGATGCCTGAACGTTCGCCTTAGGCAACACTTTTTAGAAGTCAACCAGGCGTCGTCTGACTCTTGCCATCCAATCGTTGAAAACGCCAGCACCTGTCATGATTGCACCCCTAGCTATGTTAACACTACAGTGCTTGGTTCACACAAGGGCAAGTATGGGCGAGAAATAATTGAAGCATTTAAGATCAAGAATGCCACAGACAATGTTTGAGAACCTGCATTGTCATTATCGACGAAAAAGCTGGAATTCCCAGCGCCAGAGTTATCATAGGAAAAACCTCCTTAAATTTTAATATTCTTTCAGGGAGTGAAATACAGTTATCTTTATCTTCATTTTTTCTAGTATTTTCGTCTTCCTTCAATTCCTCTGTGACCATAGTGGTTTTCGTAGTCGATGGGCACCACATAATTGTCGTTGCTCGTTGAAAGAATTGTAAGCGTTCGTCCCTTGTCCATTTCAGTATTTTTATTCTTCCCGTGTGAACTATAGTTTATCTAACGCGCTCTGCTACGTGCTCCATGGTTTCCAGCATCTCTCGTGCATACGGGTTTTTGTTTTTTTGCAAGGATGGTGGTGCAGCTGAAGGCTAGCTGCGCTGAATTTTCAGTTGCTGCAATGAGCTGGTCAAATGGCCACTGTAATTCTCTTGCAACGAGCTACATGCTCACATGTCCCATTATAAAGACATCTGCCAAGCTGGCTTATGCATAATTTGCTACATGATATGAAGATGTTAGAAACAACCCGTTTTACACGGGCATGTTGTGTCCTGTGTGAGAAGTTGCATATTTTCACTTTGGTTGGTATCGCCGTCTACTTCGAGAAACATGGAATACGCTTTGTTTGGTGCAGAGCACACAACTTCAATTCCCTGCCTCGCGGCTATCTTTTTTTAACCTATGGGTAATCTTAGGGATGTAGGGTACTACTGAGATTTTTGTTGAGTTTGTGGCGTCTCTCTTCTGTCTGTATCAGCTGATTTGTGATCACGTTTTGTGCAGATGTTTTTACACACGCAAACGAAGAGACCAATCAGATACCCAGGATCACGTAGTCGGGAAATTTCCTTGTTAAAACTTCGCCCAATATTATGATTGCAGGATTTCTTTAAGGCCAATACAAGAACAGTATTAGGAACACTTCGTTTTACAGTTTTGGAATGTCCAAAATCAGAAAGACGCAATCCTTTGCTTGACCGTGGTCCATATTTCCAACACACGTGTATTTCATTACGTTCTAGTGTGAGGTTCAGGAACTGGATGGACATATCACACACCCTAAGTGCAGTAAATGTAAACCTATATTTAGACTTGTGGCACTAAATTCAAGAAACGTAGGTGGAGCTACCCTGATGTTCTATTTGTTTTCTCGTGCAAGGAAACACCCCCTCCCCTACCCTCTACTCAACAGGAAAATAATAGTGGCAGACATTTTGATATTACTAAACAAGATTTCACCATTAGTGCTAACTTGACAATTTCCTTTCAACATCGTGTACAATGTTTTTCGTGCAACTCCTTTTTCACGTGTTGTATAAAAAAAAAAGAGTTGAGACTATGTATCACCTGGGTCCATCATTCTTCGGCTTAAGGCCATGCGACTACGTTTTCCAAGCCTTTATCAGGGCAGAGACAACAATCATACCTGCCTCAAGACTACTGGTTGATGTAGCTAGCAAATCGCTTCTACTGCATTCTCAGCATTCCGTAAGGTGGGACAACAGCGCACAAAAACGTTTCCTGTGCTCGAAAATATTGCCAAATAATGTGCTCTTGCAGGTGACCCTTTATTAGAAAGCCATCTGTTATGGCGAGCTTGATATAGTTTCTTGTTTTATGAGCATCACTGAGAAGTAATATTGACGTCGAAGTATTTCAACATCTGCGGCCCCTCGACCCAAGTCATTGAGGTCCCAGAAATAATTATTGGTTTTCGGCAATAAGTGTCGTCGGAGGTCAGGAAATTTCCCTGGTATGTGCAGCCCATGCCTCGGCAATATTTTGGGGGCAGCGAAAGGCTGTGATGCGTGTAGTGCGTGTCAGCATTGAATGTGCACCAAAACCGACAAATATCTTAGAAAATAGATTACGAAAGCAAAATGAAGTAAGCCGTTATTTCCTGTACCACTCTAGCACATCAGTCTTTCTTCTGGTAGCTCCACTTGCGAAACGTAACTTAAAATAACCAAACATTGGGTGTGCGATTGTTTCGCCAGTAAACATTGTGAGCTATCCCAAGGGATGACTGTCCCTACTGGAGATGAGCAGTTTGGCCATTGCTGTATGGCAGTTAACCTGGGGGCTTACGCCGGCCCAATGCTCATTCAGATAGAGATGGAGAGAAGTGGAGATCGAACAAGCGAAAGAGGACAATGTGAAGGATTTTATGTGGGCATGACACAACGCAGACAGGGTAGCGTTTACGTGCTCATTCTTTTTTTTCTCACCATGTTCTGCAGATTTCTGCCCGCGCCTATTTTTATATGTATAGATAAGCAGATGACACTGCTCGACACAAACTTCTCGAGGAAATCTGAAGAGCCTGGTAATCCTCAGTGATGCATTTGATTCCAATAAAATGTTGGTACCGCAGTTAACTTACTGCAATTCTCTTTGCCCGTGTTTTTTTTTATTTACAGAAAAAAAACCTGCTTCGCCGTGAGGCATTGCAGGAGGTGGGTTTCATACAAACACTTTTGTTTTAGAACACAAGTGTTTGTGTTTATAACATAAGACCACGATCGGTGCAGGAGATAATATTGAACTTGTAGCCATAATAAAAGTGAATTAAGTTCATTACGTTGTAATAACGAAATCAACAATAAGCAAAAAAGCGTCCACTTTCAATAAGCAAGCATACTTCCTGAAGCGAAATAATTTATGTTCGAATAGCCTTGGGTTTCCCTCAATGCAGCCAGGCGTCGGCGGTTCCCTCTTGGTCTGCCGTGTCCCTCTCGGCCGGCATGAAAATCTCCGGCCGGATAGCCCAGGAGGGTCACTTAGGTACACAATACCTTCACTAACATGGCCAACTGGGGGTGATCCGCGCGCTGCTTCTGAACAGACCGTTTTAGTTGAAAAATATGCCCTATGCATATCCGATCTTACACATTATATCACAAAATTATTGAGTAGCAATAGTTTACTGCCGGTTCAATCATCAACACCATGGCATACCATTTTTAATCTTTATTATTCGCAATCACATTTTCACAAGTTGTTCGTGTGTTTTTTTTGTATTTTTTTGCACATCGCTAATATACACAGAACAAACGTAGAACAACGCAGTTACACATTCTGTTCGTTTAAAAGTTTCGCCAATTTAAATTAAAATGTGTTGTTTCTCTTATGAAAGAGGTCATAAAACAATCTAGCAGTAGGTTCAAAACGCAGGGTTGAAACGTCTTCAAAACCAAGAGCTGTATGCAAGTAAAATTGCATTGAAGAGATCACAAGCAATAAACCATTTGCTATATTATCCAAGCATCAAGGAGAATGCAGGGATAGGTGTTCCACGCGTCACACGCGCACGCCTTCCCCGTATAAAAGATTCGAAGTAAATACCCAAAATAAAGCGTCGAAGAACGCGCGTGCAAGATACAATTTGTTTTAGGCATTTGCTTTAGAAAGTTTACTTCTGCTGAGGCCAGCACGTGTGGCGCGTGGAACACCAATCCCTGCATTCTCCTTGATGCTTGGGTAATATAGCAATAGGTCTATTAGTTACGTGACCATCTGCTGTCAAATTTTTGCTGTTGGTTCAGCATATAATTCAAATATTTCGAGCCTGATTCGACCCAGCTGTCGTGAAATCGTACATAGATGACCGCAGAAAATCGACTAGAGGCAGAGAGAGCGGCCTATCACGTGAACGTGCCACGCGTGACTGGGAATATATTTTGTTTGTTTCGGGGCCCTCCACAGTCAACTGCATCGTGGACCAGCGGCGTACGCCAATCTCCGGGGACCTCAGCCGACGGTTCCCAGCAGGACCCAGCATACAAGGGCCAGCAGAGCCGTGCCCAACAGATCTCCGAGGGCGGTGACGTAAGGAATGGCCGTGGAGTCCGGATCCAAATTGCGCCGCCACAGGGCGCCCACGATAGCACGTGCGGCGAACAGCAGTGCTATCACCTGGAACAACAGGGAACTGCTCAGGGATCCTCTAAAGCAGGAATCTCTAAACTCTTGGGCTAAGGGGACTTGCCGCAGTCTGAATATGAATAAGAAACTAAGTAAACTTAAATAAGCATTTAAGTGCATAAACTTAAACTAGAGTAAAAATATAAAAGATATAAGGGAATAAACACAATTACTTAATTTCTTTGTCTTCAGTATGTTGCCAATTATTTCGCTAAAATAATTGTGGCCCAGAAAACTCAAAAGGAATATTACAAAGCGCAAAGAAATTTTGGCGTATGCACACGTCGCAGACGACTCATGATAATGGTAAAAGACAGCAATATACAATAGCTCTGACACAGGGCACTAAGCAGGATATGCATGAAAAACCAAGGGATTTTAACATAGTCACACAGACATGAAACCGGGGACTACGAATACTAATGCTGGTGATGACAATCTATACAATAAATAATATGACTATAGAACCTGCGTTCTGGTGTAGTGTTCTCTCCTACTTTCTTATATCTTCCTTTGCACCTTCGGTGCGCGTCGCTGCGCTAGCCGTTTTCTTTCTTTTTTTTTCTTCACACGCTTAGTTTTGCGCTAGTAGCAGCGGGCGCAGGCCGGGTCTTAATGAAAAGACTGGAGCCATCTGCGGGCCGGCAAAAACCCTTATACTCGCCGGACTCAGCTCGCGGGCCGGGGTATTAAAGACCCCTGCTCTAATGCTTTGTACCGTTTTTATTCCATTTAAGACGACCACAATACAAAGTCGCGTACGGCTAATCACATCTGATAGAACATACGAGGTCAGATATGAACCAACTTTCTTACTGATTATAACTGTAGGCTTATCTGATGGGCCATCGTTAATCCGCGTATTCGTAGGTATACCTCCGCAAAACTAACTCACGACTGCGCTCACTCACCCTTACCGATCACGCACGAGGTAAAGGTGAGTGGGTTTGTATGCTTCAAAAATTTGTGAGTTTGAGATTGAGTGAAGGGCGTGAGGGGGTCGGTTTGGAGCCTCAGACCGGTGAGTTCATAGGTTCAGTTGGTTCTTGAGATCGGTGAGTTGACGTGTTCGGTGAGGGGCATGAGTTCGTGAGATTTATCAGTTCATGACTTCGGTGAGGGTTGTAAGGTTTTTAGTCCGGTGAGGGGTGTGAGTTCATGAGGTCGGTAACTTCGTAGGTTTGGCGAGGCATTAGGTTCCTAAGGGCCATGGGTTCAATGAGAGTGTGTGGGATAGGGACATCCGGGAAGGACGGGTCATGTGACTTCTTTGTAGATTTCCGGGCCGACACCAGCTTCCCCAACGGCATTGTTAGCTTGTACGGCTGTTTCCTACGAGCGATGGGAAAGGAAGAAAAGGCGCCGAACGCGCTCTTCGCCTCCAGCTCGCTTTGCAGCGGCTTGGGGTGGTCTTTTGCCGATGGTCGCTGCTTCGTGTCGAGGCGATGAGAGGTGGGGGCAGGCCCCTCGCTCGCCTCGCCCGCTCCCGTACAGACTGAGAGGCATGAATATACGCGCCGCGTTTTCTTACTTCGTGAAGAAGGAAAAGAAACTCTAAAAAAAGGTATATTCTTACTCTCCTTCTTTCATATACGTCACCCCTAAAATTCATTTCAAGGTACAGCGCGCTGACATTGAACAGACGACCTCAACGTTTACGAGGTGATTGAGAAGGGTGATAAAGAACATATATAAGACATGCCTTGTCAGCATTTCGTGATCGAAAGAGCCTTTGCACGACATAAACGTTTAAGTTGACTTTCGCTGCAAGTCAGAGCGCAGCCGACATAACAGGTCAATAGGCCAATCAAGCAGAGCCAAAAAACACTACGTCTCAGAGCTCGGCGTCTTTTAGTCCGTTTGTTGTCAGCGGTTAAATCAATCGAGCGCCAACCATGCACCATGGCCATGCACTTTTAGTTTCCGTGTTTGTGCTTGTGTACCTTGTATTCTTTGCCTGCATTTTGATTTATGATAAAACAAACTATAGCAGATTTGTTTTTCAAGAGGGGTGTTCAGGGAGGCGCTCTATATAATTCAATTTTCGATGATAGTTTGAATGAACGTGATTACCAATTATCTGACCTTATAAATAGCCTCCCCAGTATTGTTGAAATAGTACGCCAAAGTCGAAGAATCTGCATGTTCAAGAAAAAAGTAAAAGCCTATTTTTTAGCCCCAGTGACCTAAACTTCAAAATTGTTCCGCGAGTGGATAGCATATTTCGAATTGTTTTTTAATAGTGCTTTTGATATTTTTTGTTATGAATTTATTTTATTGATAATTTGATGTTGAAAACATTTTACCAATGTATTTCGTGCATCATTATATAATTTTCTGATTAAATGCAACAGAAATGGAGCCTTTTACATTAACGCTGACATGGTATGTTAATGAATGTGACCTCAATAATGTCGATGTGAATGATTTCTATTTGAAAATTTTGGTGACGTCGATATTAATTATTGTGATTACGATGCTTAGCTAATGTCAATTTGAATATTTTTTTAATAATTGCTCGTTTATGATCACACTGGTCGGGCACACCGTTGACTGCTGTAAAAAGTGGCTGATGGCTTCGTTAGAAGACTTTTTAATGCAAAAAAAAAAATTATTTGCCCCATTGCGCCAAAGTGTGGCGTCGTCGTCGGCGGCGTGACCGAGCGAAGTACCAAGAATGGCCGACGGCTCAAAGAGCAAACTGCGTAAAAAAATTTTCAGACAAAAAGAAATAATGGCTTTAAAAAGGAACTATGTTACATTTCGGTCAGGATGAGAATCGAACCCGGGCCTTCAAGGTGCGAGACGGGCACGCTTCTCCAAAGCCACGGCGTCTCCACGGTTCCGGATTACTACTAGTGCGTGCGTCATTGCACACGTCACGTAGCAGCCGGTCGGCTGACTAAAGGTGTTGCCTTGTGCGTGAGTCAATGGGCCCATGACGCCGCAGCTAATGGGGCGGAGGGGGCGCCACATTATGAGTGTATAGTTCATGGTTTGCACCATTCGTGGTTTCGGAACATGGCGGCAGCATGTTCCGAAATATGGCGGCGGCATGTAAGGGAAGGGTGGCGTCGAACGATGCATTCTATTAGTTTGTTGATATTTGTGAAAGGCATCGTGGATGCTTGAGGCCGCTGCATTCTCAACAAACAACGTCGAAGTTGACAGTTCGACGGTGCTCCTATTTACGTCAATGAAGAAACAATTTATCCCAATATCAGATTGTCAACCTTGTGGCTGTTGGTCCAAGAAGGCGACGACTTCAAACTTCCACCATTCTTTTTATACACAACATCAAATTTTCGTTCGACGCCCTATTATTTTCTCGCCGGAACAGTGTTACAATCCCCAGCTCTCGCCGAAGTGGCGTAGTATGGGGATTAGCAAGCACTCGTGATCTGGCACACGTGACTTCGAAACGCTATAAAGTCTGCTTATTTCTGTTTAGAAAACGTTTGTGCAAATATACCGTAAGTAATTTGTTGTTAGATATTTAGGCAGTGTAAAGTTAAACTATCCTAAGAGGCACCTAGTTTCTCCGACGTGGGTGAGAAATTTAGCACGCCGGTACGATGCTCATCCAGATCGAAAAGGGGCGGTGGCGTGGTTTGAGTCGGCGATTCCTGGGTTTTGCAGCGCAAGTTTTCACTCCGCGTTATTCTCCTGACGTGTTTAGGTTTGAAGCCGAATGTGCTAATGAACATGCGCTACCTCGTTCAGCAGTTCGAAGAAAAATGGTCGGGCTAGAGTGAACAGGCGCGATCTCTTACGGCCTTTGCACGGGGAGCTCCCTGCGGCGGAAGCTCTAAGTGGTCCCTGTAACCCTACCGCACCTTTCCTTCTGAGAGGCACCTCCTCCTCACCGTGTTGTCCTCTTTGCTCCGGGGTGGATTTTGAGGAGTTTCTAGTTTAATTAGACCCACAGGTTATGAGGCCGTCTGCCTGCAGGGACTTATACGGAACACCTTTTTCTCTTAGTCTCCTTAAGAAACTAGTTTGTATTTACAAGTATTTAATTATCGTAAGCCGAAACTTATTACAATCGGCTCACTACAGTTATTTTAGGCACGTATAACTGCACACATTTTCAATCGCAGTGGTCGGGGAACAGTTGTTCAGGATGTCTCAGGCGGTGTTGGCCATGGTAAGGCCCCTTCGTGTTTCAAAAGTAGCGCAAGGTGCGCCGATGCACGAGGCACGTGAAACGTGCAGCCCTTGGGAAGATCATGGCGGCACAGCGCAGCACTGATAGCACTGAGCTAGATTTCCGATAGGGGGGATCGGTGGCCGAGTCGTCTAGCGCACACCAGCTCGGAGCACGTGGAGCAAAAGCTCGCGCTACAGAACCCAGGGATCCTGGGCTCGAGCCCCACCCCTGCCCGTTTCGATCTGGATGAGCATCGTACCGGCGTGCGGTCGTGTATCACTACTGCGTGGTGCACGTTAAAGACCCCAGGCTAGCGGTTGTACCGCACTGGCTAAATTGCTCATCTACAGCTGGGAGACTCGTCGCCCCTGTGAGGCAGACCAAGTTCTAGGCTGTATAAACATACACACAACCCAATTTTTTTTTTAGATTTCCGACGCCTTGTTTTTCTTAGAAGAGGCGCGCGGCACGTGTCTCGAGCATTTTCGCAACAATGAATGGCACCACTTTTCCCAGGATAGAGGTGCTCTAGGGCATGGTAGGGTGTCTAGATGTCTGTCTGTCTCAGGGTGAAGACATCCATTGTTGCCCTGAATGTGCCAGCGCGTGACGCTCTGGCGCACTCGGTGCGTGACTCGGGCGGTAAAATGGCGTCTATGCATTAGCTAAAGCTACGCGCTCAAGCTAGGTGACACGGAATTGCGCGCACTTCAAAATGCATAAAAAAACGATTGGGCGGAAAAATGTCTGAGATGTCACCACTCAAGCAAAAGCGCGCCTGTGTATGAAGGCACTCTAGGGCATGGTATACGGTCGCACTCCCACGCGGCTAAAGAAGACC